GAAGCAAGTCTTCAACACCATTGAATGAAATCTTTAAATTTCCTTTGAAGATTATTCCACTCTTTGTTTCTTTCTCAATAAGTCGGCTACACTTCAACAGTTGAGAAACCTGATATTCCGAAATTGCAAATATGGTTTTAACTTTGGATGTACGTTTGCTCATTTGTCTTCCTCTTCTTGCTTGACACAGAAGAGTCTTATTTTTGAACTCGCGCCCTACTAGTGATGAGAATTGGATTCATTATAAGAATGCTAAAATTATTGCTAATGCCTATTGGCAAGGGAACTTGAATATGATGGGGAAAATCTTTCAGAAAGCGTTTGGCTAACTATTACAGATAAAGTGTGGAAATATTGCCACCATTGAATATTATCCAAATATTAATCTACGCCAAGGCTTTTTTCCTAATTCACCTTTACTAAAAGAATTACTACTCTCCAAAGCAAGCGTACACAACTGTATCAAGAAATCAAAAGAAAATGGTTGAATCCATCAACACAACAATAAAAACAATATTTCTACACATGACAATACTTGATGTAATTTTCAGTTGACAATATGAATAGAATAGTGTTTTCTAAATTCTTCCAGTTATTAGTTACTTTGTTTTAATAAATTCATTTCGTTTTTGCCTTAAAAAAGCTCACATTGGGTCAAAAATACTCCAGCTGAATGGCCATTTTGCTCTGCAAGAGTTAATGTACACTAACTCTTGCGAGGCGAAATGGCCATTCATATGTAGTATTTTTTGAATTTCATTTTATTTGTAATTTATATATAGGCTCTGTAATAAGTATAGTTAGATCTATTTGTGGATCAGTTTTAATGTTTTATATCATTAAGATTTACTTGGATTATTTACCCACGGATTTTTTTTACTGATATATATATATATATATATATATATATATATATATATATATATATGTATGTATGTATAAATGAAATATCCCATCTGTATGGCTATTTTATACATAAAGAAAAATTTCCTTGGGATACTGTCAACACTAAAAATGTTATCAAACCATTTTAGTGTTGACAATATCCGTAAGGAAATTTTTCTTACCGTGCGAAATGTCCATACAGATGGGATATATCTGAATTTCATATATATATATATATATATGCTCTGTAATAAATACATTGAGCTCTCTTTTGTAGATCAGTTTTAATATTTTATATTATTAGGATTCACGTGGATTACTTACCAACGGATTTTGCCTATATATATATATATATATACATATATATATATATATGTATATATATATATATATATATAAAGAAATATAGTCTTAAGATGTGCTATATTTATGGAATAAAGTGCTCAATATCACAGACAGAACGTGTGTAAATATAAAAGTGAAATAGAAGTCAACACTTAGAGGCGACAGTCTGTTTCATGCTATATGCAATCGTCAGGCCACCTAATGATTGCATATATCATGAAACAGACTGTCGCCTCTAAGTTGTTGACTTTTATGTTATTTTATATTTATATATATATATATATATATATATATATACAGCCCATATATATATATATATATATGTATATATATATATATGTATGTATCTATGTATGTGTGTGTGTGTGTGTACAAAAAAAAAAAAAGTGTTGGTACAACCAAAAGAAAAAATTCCAGATGACCAAATTAAAATAATACTAAATCAAGGAAACTAATTCAAGAACGGTAAAATTTATGACAATGCAAATAAAAACTCAAAATTATAGAAGCTATTAATATATAAAATATACAGCCCACATTAAATTAAATACCATTCATCACAGGTAATGCTATGTTTAACTGCGTATGTTATTAATTAATGTGCGGATAAATTACATTAGTGTTGAAAAATGAATAAATAAATAAAAATAAATAAATTACATTCTTTTTTTTTTGTGCAGTCTCGTTCCCAGTAGCCGATACACCTGACGTCACGCGAGACCATTTCAATCGTCCCGGTTACCAAAGAATATTAGGACGCAAACAATGGAATTCTAACTACTTCTAACTAAGCACCTCGGTTCTTGATAATGACTGCGAAAGCTGAATATACTTGAACAAACCTAGCAAAATCTTCGAGCCTTTATTGGATTTTCTTGAATATTTCGCTACATTCTTCTCATTGATCTGCAGAATTCTTGTCTAGTGCACCAGATCTCGATTTGGTCTCAACAGTTTTCGCCTTTTTATACTTAGCAATAACGGACGTAATAGTAGTAAATTGTATATTCAGTATATTTGATATATTCCTAAAGCTTTTGTTTTTCATGATCACTTCTTTTTAGTGACTTTGATAGTTACTTATATTTCCCCATGATGCCAGTTATCGTGTATGAATTGTGTGTAGAGATAACCTTATATAAGAAATGAATTGACGAATATTCTAGATTGTTCCCGTAATAAGATAATTGGAAGAATCTAGCAAAACCTTACAAAGTATTATGTAAATAAAGGTCATTTCATATTAAAGACATGTGACACTATTTAGCGTGTGGCTAATTAATTAAGCGTGAAAATTAAAAGCGAGAAATACTTAAGGCGAGAAGAAGCTATCACGGAAGACATACTGAGCGATGTTATTTTTTTTTTAACAAAAGAAAAGTGGTAAAGATTGTATTTTCATTTGCGAAGAAAAGTATTTTATTTCGCAGAAGATAGGAAATTCGTAAGATCTCGGATCTGTCAGAATTAATTTATGCCATGACGCGGCGAGTAACGGCAGAGTGCGAATAAAAGATAGCAATCTGCCCATGGCAATAATGAAAATTTCAAATTGGTCAAATGACTTACAAAGCGGAACGCTAGAAGATAATCAGAATTTGGGTCGAGCATGCGACCGAGAAAAGAATCAGCTGAGACCACCCCAAAGAAAAAGGAAAAGAATAAACCATTAACAATCTTTCGGAGATATCATTTGGTTTTGGAAGGGAACCACCGCTTTTATGTCCAGACCTTGCCATGATAAAAGTTGTTACCTGGACAGACTGTTGGCGACAAGGTGCGAAAATCTCGTTGGTGAATTCCAGGTGACATTCAGTTAAGATAGAGATTAAGGACCACACTACAAGTCGTGGGGGTCTGGTCGATGAAAAGAAAGAAAAGAAAAAGGAAGATAATTTTTTTCTTTGAGCGATAATTGTAAATTGAGGCCAGTCTAGCCACACCCACGCTTCCGAGCTTTCATTGGATGATGGTGGCGTGAGCGATGGGCGAATGTAAACATATGAGAAAGAAGGGAAACCTGTTGACGCCTCTGAGGGGATTGGTGTGAGATACCAATATGAAAAAAGAAGAATTTGGGAGGACAATTCCCTTAAGAAACCCTCTAAAGCAGAAAATAATTGAAATTTTCCTGACCGAAAACAAAGAAAATACTTATTGTGGATATGGAATTATCGAGGAACCCAAAACACGACAGGCCCCCACCCGGTTTTGGTCGTCGTCCATATAAACGAACGTCCCCAGAGCAGAAGTAGCAGACAGTAGTAGACAGTAGCGGACAGCAGGCAGACGGTAGCAGTTGAGCTGTGCACTCGGAGACCAGCCTCGCAGGAGCGGACTGAAAGTTTCCACGTATTCCGACTTCTAACCAAAAACAATTATTTTTGAAGAATGACTTAGACTTACACCACCAAAACAAGCTTTAGAAGAGGTAAATCCAATAAAAATTGTACATTTATTTTGAACGTAAAATCAAAATTTTTTTTCAGGTGACAAATGGTACTAAACGATTCTATTCAGAATTGCGATTAATAAAACACTGCTTCACTCTCCGTTTTTGGAAAAAAATCCATAAAAGGTAAAAAGGATTTATATAAAGAGAAAGGAAAGAAGATAAGAAATTAAAGATTAAGAGATAAGAAATAGAAAGATCTTGATACGAAATAAATCAATGACATTAAGTTTAAGACAAAAAAAATAATAACATATATATATATATATATATATATATATATATATATATATATATATATATATATATATATATATAAGTTATGAAGTAATCCTATAGGTATATATATATTTATACATATGTGAGTATAAATATATAAGTATGGGGTATGTTTAGGTACTAACATTATTTTTTGTGCTAGG